TATACCCCTCATCAGTTGGTGGCGGTAATGTACCGTACCAGAAGGTTGTTTGCCAATCACTAAAGGGAGTGGGAGGCCCCTCCCACTGACTGCCAGGCTGCCACTCTAGGTCTCTGAGCAAGACCCTTAACCCATGATTGCTACGGGCACAAGGGAATGGGGTAAATGCAGAGAGTTAATTTCTCCATTGTAATTGATCAATGAAGTTCATTTTTTTTATTTTACAATTAAACAAGAAGAAGCAGAAGATAACAGAACTACCCATCTCTACCCATCCATACCATCACCTCATGTGAGCATGCGCAACCAGATGTACATCCGGGTCAACCTTGATTTCAAATTTTAAAAAAAGACCTAAATTATCTTTTTCCCTCCCTCAAAGTAGTAAGCTTAATAAACTATAATGTGTTAAAGGTTAATTATGTATTTTCTCAGAAAATAAATGTTTTAAAATCCTTTCTGTTTTATCACTTGTGTAATGACAGATGGTTCCGTTTTCATCTTTTTCTTCTTCTTTAAAGGCAGCATGAAAACATCTTTCAGGTGCATTACCACTATCAACTGGTAAGGAGTGTAACAGCTTCATCAGGCGCTATCGATTCATTCTTGTAGATTTTTGATTTGTAGTTTTATTGTTGCGATGCTGTCATTTGTAATGGAAACATTTAATGTCACATGTGTGTATAAATTGACAAAAAGAAACAAAAGCCTCGATTATATTCATGTTCATTGACATATTTTAAGAAATCTAGACACCTAGACATACGTTTCTATTGATAGTGATCTTACCTTACACATATTTGCCCGTTATCTCTGTGTTCATTCAGTTTCTCCTAAAGTACTTCTCATCCAATGTTTTAGTATTTCTTTTCATGCATCTCCTTCTTTTCCTCTGGTTGAAGCAGGTGACTGGTGATATCTGTCTGGTTCTTCTTTTGATTTCCTCTCCACTATTGCCAAGTTCTTTCTCAGAATAAGAAACTGCAGCAAAGTCATTGACTTAAAGCAATACACTGGGTTTCCTTAGATAACTCTTACCAGGTTGGCTTTTTAAATTATCAGTAATTTGTTTTGATATAAACTTTATGAAATCAAATCTTACAACGTGATTGAATTAGACTGGAGTGAATGGGACTGATTTGAAATGAATATGATTCAAATTCGATTTAATATAGATTGACATGCATTGGACCAATTTGTCTTGTACATAGAGACAGTTTTTTTTTTTTATATATTGAGGATCTACAAATACATTGAAGTAAATTTCTGTTGACCAAGAGAGATAATCTATAAATTACTAACAGAGTAAAAAATTGCTTTTTTTTTTTAAAGCAGGAGACATGAATAGAACAGTATTACCAGGTGGAGATAAACAAACATAATCTGACCCATAGATGTCTAATTTGTAAACACTACTCCTTCACATCCTCAACCTTTTTCACCAGACAAAGAGCAGGGATCAACAACATGCAGGAGCAGCAAAAAAAAAAAGACAGACTAATCCATTTAAAGGAAAGCCTCACATGACCAGTGTTTCCGTCACATGTTGGTACATGACAACCTAGCAAACCTTAGTCATTTAGGAGGACCTGAAAAAAGCCAACAAGTAGAGAGCTCCAAGAAGGACTAGTCCTACTTAGTTTGCACTGCACCCAAATACCAAATAACATGTGTACCGGTATATATATATATATATATATATATATATATATATATATATATATATATATATATATATATATATATATATATATATATATATATATATGTTGACAGAAATTTCACAACATGCACTGGTAACATCTCAAGTATGTAATAATAACAAAAGAATAAAAATGAACTGAAAATGTAATGAATACATAGTATAAGAAGCAGTTGGTAACTTAAGGCATCTCCTGTATGTAGAAACTGGTGATTTGAATTGTCTGGGTGTTTTTTTAACCAATTCCTACCTTAAAGCTTCAGATGTTTTAATAGAGTCTTAATCAGGTGACTGGCAGGATCTATGTATCAGCATTATTTTCTTTCTCTAAAACAAATTCTTTTGGTTTTGTTTGAAATTGTCTGAAAAATCTCTCCTACTTTTATATCAATGTTCTCCTAAAAATCGTCTCAGGAAATTTCTCCTTTTATTTTCCTTTTTTTCCCCTCCTCTTCTATATTTATAGACTCAGTCCTACCAGTGCCTTGCGCTTAAGGATGAACTCACTTCATCTAAAACCTCACAATTGGTTTGACGTTTTCAGACATTCTACAAACAGAATGTGGGAAAAGACATTCTCAGAATTAAATGTTGGTGTCATGACTAGATGATGTTTTCTAACTGTCCTTTACAATAGCCTAAGCAAATTAATGCTTTCGCCAAAAAACCCCCAAAAAAAACAATGATGTCACACTGGGTGATATGCTCTCAACTGACAGGAGTTAGGAGGTGCTGTTATGGTTTTGATCTACGAATTTTTCTGTTATCCCAAATAATCTGAAGATCCTTAGCATTGATCTGCTCAGTGGGATCTTTGAGTGGCCTAAAATCTGATGAGGCATTAAGGCTTGAACATATGGGGCAGCAGTTGCAGGACGTGCTCATCAACAGGATTCTGTTCGTCATTGATATACGCTTAAGGGCTGGTTATACTCCTGCAGCAGTGTGTCGCAGTGAGCTTGACGCAAATATTTTTGATTTATGCTCAATATTGAAGCGTGGTCTGTGCTATACACTGTGGGTCTAGATACGGCCGAGGCGGATAGGAAGTGGGGGTGAGTTTAGTCTGACAACGGAGGGAAATGAAGGCGAAAAAAAGCAGGGATCCAAGTGGAGAAAGGGTCCCAGCGTTCTCGCGCATCTCCATCTTCTAGCTAGTCCAACTTCACAAGTTGTTTTCCGCATTTTCGGTCATATAAACAAAACAAGCCGGCCTCCTGTCTGCGGCACTGTCTGCGGGCAGTTAGAATTTTGGCGGAGGACGGCTTTTTGTTCATTGCGACACCTACGCAGATGACCTAAATCAGCCTTTACTTGACGAAGATTTGTGAGAATCTTCATCGCTTTATCTGCCATGTTGGCTAGCCGATCTCTAGTGATGTCACACTTCTGGTTTTAGTATGGGCAAAAAAACAAAACTGGCAAAATAGTGTTTTTCTTTTAAAGAAGTGCTTTAGTAATTCACTGAATGACAGGACAGCCCTTTCAATTAGACGTTTCAGCCAATCTTTAAATTTAAATTTGTGTTTTCTTCAGGAGTGGAGTGTTGCGGCATGAGCTTTCAGGGAAATTAGAACGACTGTGAACAACATATTTTCCTGTTTTAAAATAGCTCTATTTTGTAATCCCAAAGCTTCTCTATAATCCTCATGTGTGCTTCCTCTCTTCTGATTACTTTGTTTGAATGTTCTGTCAGAAATCTTCCAAATAGCACCAGATCACCACTGGTTTGTGGTCATTTAAAGGGTTGGAGACCTGTTTATGACTGATACCATTAGTGCTTTGGAAAAAGAAGGTAGCAAATGTCTATGGAAGCTCTTTGCTTTAACCCATCTGGTCATGTTCCTGTATGAGCCACTGGTAATGAGAAACATTTTTATAGACCACAAGTTTAGAATAGACCAGTTGCTAATTAATTATACTAATGGTGGGTTGCTTCCTGGGATTTTGTATCTTTTATAAGCTCTTTTCTTTTTGTTCATTCACTGTTTCTTTCCACTTTACTTCACAACACTGAATTTATTAACTAATTTATTCCTCCTTGTATGTATTTAATTGAGGTGGGAAATTATATTTGGAGTCCTTAGCCTAATTAGAGTACATTTACGGTACCAAGAAATCATTGACATGTTCATTGACATGCATGGTATATTTAGCAGGTTTGCCCTGGTCAGTGGAATTTTTTTTTTTCTTATTAAACATTATTTGTACATTTATAGTTCCCCAGACCCCTTTAGTTAAAATTCATAGTGTTTTGCACAAGAGAGACTACTAAAACACTGTAATTGGCAAATGCTTAAGCAAAAGCTTGGCTTGAAAACCCTACTTTTATTATTATATTAATTTAACAGTGGAAATATAGAGAAATTACTTACTCTCTGCTCTTCATTATCATTTAAAACATACATATGGAGCATGTAATTACACTGGCAGTTTTAAGTTTCATCATTAGTTAATACAAAATAAATATGTAAATATGTATTTCCTCCCTTGCTTCTTCTATTTTACTTTTTTGCTAAAACTTAGTGTTCTAAATTAAAAGAGATTTTGAAGTAATACCAAATTTGTTCTGATTAATATTCAAATTTCAAATTGTTCCTTTATTTAAAGAAATCAAACGATCCAAACAACCTAGGAGTATGTGTGACTGGCTATTGCTTAAACTGAACAACAACAACTGCCAAAAAGAATTAGCAATAATTAGCTATAGCCTTTTAAATCCCTGTGGTGAAATTTTGTAACACTCTTGTTTGTTAGAATAATCAGCCAGTGGCTTGTTTACAGTCACTCTATAAGCTTTAAGTCGGACCGTGCTTTGACTAGGCCACTTTAAAGCCTTACTTTTTTTAGCCATTTAGAAATTCAATAGTTTTTCTTGTGCAGATCTTTTGTATAAAAGAGGCAATTATTATTTGACGTAGGGACAGTTTGGTCAAAATTGCTTTTTCCCCTTATTAACAGAATCAAATCATCATTGTTCACTTACTGTAACGTGCAGCTAGTGGCAAACTTAGGTATAGCTTCATATTAAAAATCAGGCACCATTTCATTAACCAGATGCTGTTGATTTGAGATAAAACTCCCTTCAGTCTTATCTTTCTCTCATCCAACTTTGGCCCAAACTGAACAGAAACATCTACCATGCATCACCTGATGTGCTAAACAAATGGGTAGAAGCTCAGGGTGATGATAAGCTGAAGTTTGCAGAAAAAAAAGCAGGAGATTCACCCACAAAGACAGAAAACAGACCACATGCAAACACCCTGCAAATTTATGATGGTTAAAAAAAATCCCTTACTTTCTCATCATCACCTCCAGAGTGTGAAGACCAAAACGAGCGGAGCAGGTCCCTGTGCCTCACATGGCTGGAGAGAAAGAGAGAGGTATGAAGACCACGAGGGGAGACTTGGTACACATCGACACTCAGCCGCACGCTGTGAGGGAGCGGGGAGGTGGAGGGAGGTAACAGGGTGTGTGTGTGTGTGTCTGAGGGGCCGATTGAATAGAGAGGGTTGGTCATTTCTGTTTGTGCTCAGCAAACTGTAAAGCCCCTCCAAAAACTCCAAGTTAAGACTTAGTTCAAGGTTTTGTTTTAAAACAGAGCCAGAAATAAGCTGAAACTTGATTTTTATTTAATTTGTTACTTTGACTAAAAGATCTTTGTTGTGTTATTTTCCTATAATTGCCATCATAATCTACATAAAGGATGAAAGAGACTGATTATTTCTGATTTCATCAATTCATCAGCTGGTTTATGAATTGACAGAACTTCAATCACTGCAGCCGCTGCCTCCTGCTGCTGTAAGGTGTTTTTGCTTCAGGCTTTAGTTTTAGACCAAATCAATATTTGTAACATCTGGCTTACTTTGAATGGGTCTTCATATCGTTGCTCTAAATTCAACATTTTGTACCTTAGATGTTGTATTGCTGGTTTAGTTTCTTTTCCTTTTCAGTGGCAGCTCAAATATGACCTTTCACCTCTACTCTACGTTTCAATGCCTCACTTCGTAATATCCGTTTTGATATAATCATGATCAACAGATATTATCTTACCCTTACCCAAAATTATTAGATGGATCTGTCAGCGTTTAACATAATTTGGACATTTGTATGTCAACTTCTCATTACAGAGAATATTCAGCCATCAGCTCAGGACTTTAAGCTCAGGAACACCTGTTATGTAGTAGCAGTCGGATCCAATTCACAGGAGTGTGTATCCCTTCTGGAAACTCACCAATGTGGCTAAAATTGAATCAGTTCAACAAAGAAGAGTGGATCCAAAATGCCTCTTTTGAGATTCGAGAGAATTCTCGCTAGTTATCGTAAATTGACGGCAGGCGCTGCTGGGAAGGGTGGCACAAACACCTAAAATAAGTGGGGATTTTTTTCCTGAATCGAGGAGGAAAGTGAATCATGTTGCTAATGAAACAAGATAATTGACATTTAAAATAAGAAAAAACAATTGCATTGTCTTATTTCAAGAGCAAATTGTCTAATTATCTTATATAGAACAAATACTAATTCCATTGGCAAACATAATTTATCTACTCAAATTAAGGGTAGATACATTTAATTTAAGAAAAGTTTAATTTTCTTACTTTACTGGTGTAAATCTATTTCTAGATCGTTTTCCAAGTGCAAACGGTTAGCCAGTTATCAAAAATAAAAGTATAAAATAAAAAACTATTTATCAGCATTATTTGTTGGTAGAACCAAGTACTAGTTATTGAGATAAGGATAGAAATTATATTTAACATGGTTAAATTTGAGATAGTCCAAGCCATGTGAATACTTTTACAAGGCATTGTATGTTAGATTAGCATCTTTTTTTGTTGACGTATATCTCATACTGTCACTGTCAAAAAAAATAAGCAGAAAATACGACACTATGAGAGGTGAGGTGTAAATCTATTTCTAGATTGTTTTCCCAGTGCAAACGGTTACCCAGTTATAAAAAAAATAAAAGTAAAAAATACAAAATAAAAAAACTATTTGTCACCATTAATTGTTGGTAGAACCAAGTATTAGTTATTGAGATTAGGATACAAATTATATTCAAAATGGTTAAATTTGTGACAAGGCACTGTATGTTAGAGTAGCATCTTTTTTTGTTGACGTATATCTCAACCTGTCACTGTCAACAACAAAAAAAAGCCGAAAATACGACACTATGAGACACCAGTCAGGCCTAGCTGCAAAATTGGCTGTCAATCTGATAAGGGGGCAGTGGTGACCTACCATTCAGAAAATTAATGACAGCAATAAATCATGTGGCGGCCTCATTTGGCCCGACGTGTGCCCAGCCAAGCATGAGAGACAAATAACACTTCCCCAGCCTCATCCTCTGCTTTCACAGGGTGGGACATCCATCTCTCTCAGTCTCGGGCTCACCACAGCAGAGTCACCCACCCCCACCCCGTTCCTGTGCAAACTACAGGATGACCTCCTCTGCCGTGTTTTCACAGCGCCCCTGTCACCATGCACGCTGAAACATTACAAGCACAGGGAGAGCTGGGCTAAAGTTAAACGTAGACCAAAGCTTCATAGAGATCGATGTGTTTAAAAAAAAAGGCAAACATCTGTCTCTTTAGCAATCAAAAGTCATTGGTCTACATATATTATGACAAATATGTAGATAAATATGTATTAGAAAGAAGATAAAATGTAAATGCTGGTTTCAAATGTTTGCAGATTGCTCATTAGTTTATAGAAGCATCTTTTAGTTAAATTTCAGCATATACGCTTCTATTATATCAATCTGACCAAATTTTTCTGGATAAAATTTGATTTTGAACTTGATTTTCACTGTAAAATAGTTTTCAACCATACTTCCCTTCTCTTTGTTCATAGTAGTTTAGTTTCACTAGTTTTAGTTAAGAATTTTAAGCTGAAATATGTTTGACTTGGAGCTGAATGTTTTTTGTTAATAAACTCTTATATTTTGGACATAAGTTGTAGTTTATTCCATATATGTGCAGAATTTACTGTTTGACCATGATTTTATTATTGAACACCCCAACCGGGGGGTGGGGGCAATAAACATCTTTGTCATGATTTTATCAAGGTCTGACCCCAAGATGCAGAAGACCAAACAGCGAGACCAGGGAAAAGTTTAAACAGGTTAATTTTAGGAGTAATGTGATGAATCCAGTGCTGCTCTGAGCACTGCTCAACAGGGACTGAAAGGTGAGGGGAAGACACTGCGGTTAGTTCAGGCTCAGTGGGAAATTTGAATCTTAGGTTTAGAATTTGAGGAAAAGGTTGCAGACTCACTTCTCCAGGGAAAGATGTCCTTTATGGAATCCAGACTGAGAGGACTGTACCAGAGATTGTTGTTTGGTGATGGGTGGATTGGGTTACTCAGACTGCGGTTGTTCCTTGGTGAATGGAGAAGCTTACTGCCACTCAGATTTCCTGCAGTACTTGAACAGAATGAGGTGCAGATGAAACCTTTGCTTGATGCGAAGCTCAAACGACCTCTTGGGGAAAGTGGATCCAAACTTCCTGTTTGGAACCCCAGCTCAGTTAGAAGCTCAGTTGAACCTTCCAGAGAGAGAAGGACCGAACAGATCCAGTTTGCAGCATGACTTCCTGCTGAGAGGCAAAGACAAAAACAAAGTTAAGACTCAGGTTGACAAAACTCAGCTTGACTAGAGAATCCAAAAACTGGCAAACAAAAAAACTCAGGTTAGACTCTGCTAAACTAAGCTAGAGTGCCCAGTATTGGCAAACACTCTGGTGTCGAGGGTAGTGGCAGTCAGCAGCTTAACAACACTCCACAGGTAATGAGGCGATGAGCTGCAGGTGTGCAGGGAGACCCAATGAGGACAGGGCACCACCTGGTGGAGGAGGAAAGGAAACACAAAAACAGACCACAGAAACAGGATTCCTGACAATCTTAAGTATCAGAAATATAAACTCCTTGCTTACAGGGAATTAAATATAACAGTTATTCACAACATAAATATTGAATATGAATCCACAACACACCTTACATTTACTTCCATTCATTTTCTATGGCCTGACATTAAAACTAATTCACACCTTAGTCCTAAATTTAACAGCTAGTCACCCCAAAGAACAGTGCAGACTAAAAAAAGTTCCCGCTTAAAACTAAAAATCCCCTCATTACATATAAAATATGAAAACTGTCCCTTAACCCCACACCTGCACACCTACAGGCAACATAAAGATGGATCAGTCAACCTTCAGCTTTCTGATTGTAGTCATAGGCAACCAGTCCAGCTAAATAAAAACATACAAAAATCTACTTAAGATAATTTGTTTAATTTTTGGCGAAAAAAACATTTCAATTTTTTTAAAGAGCGCAAATATTTACAGTTTTTTCCCCCCAAAATATATTTTTTTTCATGTTACTATTTGTGGAAAATTAATTGGGAACATTATTTTTAACTTAATGGTGGAAAAAAAACAAAAAAAACCCTGGTACCTTTAGTGGTATTCTCCAGCACAAATTCAGAGCAGTTCTTGAATGAAAAAATCTTGTGGTATTTTTCATTATATCCTTAGTTAGAAAAAAAAAAAAATGCTTAATTTAGATTTTTAGCCAAAGTTAATAAGAGCCACGAGGAAGGTCTAAGGAACAACATGCGGCTGCAGAGCCGCTGCAGACCCCTGTTCTAAACCATGACCTTTCAGAAAACACAGCCCTGAACATGGAAGCCATAATGGTTCCTGAACTGTTAAAACATTTTTAAAAAATAATCTAATAATCACAAATTAAAAGTGGTACTTTGTGATTAAGACAATTCATTAAAATATACTTTATTTTAAAACTTTTTACACATCTTTACCATGCATGTCAACAAGTGTGAAATACTCTTTACTCTAAATCTAATCATGAATCCTTCCTTAAAGGAAATTTTTCTTTAACTCAACAATATTGCTAATTAACCTCATTAAATAGTAAAATCCATGCAATCTGAAGCAGCCCTCATTAATCTGTGAGCAACCTCACTGGAGGCATGAAGTGTTACCCCTCCCCAAACCAGCCCCCTCATCTCACTTCCTTCAATGGACGCCTTGTGCTGCACATAGAAGTCCACTGTGTGGCTGGTCTGTGTGTCACAGAGAAATATTGACTTTTAATACTTCAAACATGCAGCTCGTTTCGTTTTAAATACTGGCTGTGTTGATCTTTGAAACCCTGACGGCCACTGAGGTCCACCTTTCCCCTGGAGCTGTGAAAACCAGTTTGTAAAAGTCACATTCAGGTGTTTCCCACCAGTACGAACACACTTACCGTAAATTATAAGCTATCTAAGACAATGTAGATCGGGTTCATATTAGATGCTGGTATGCCAAAGCTGTTCTGCTTTGCATGCATAAAAAAAATAAAATATATGCTCTGCATCAACCAGTATGTCCTATTTATGTCTTTTAGTTTAGAAATATAAATAAAGAACTACCCGGTAACTGTGTTTTTAGAGCAG